GGTGAGCCGTCCCATCCGACCTGGCCCGACAGCATGCCCTTGCCGCCCCGCAGCACCTGGCCCTGGCCCAGCCGCTCCAGCAGCTTGCCGGCGTCGGCGATGTCGAGCTTCCAGTCGAGTTGGGTGCGGCGTGCCGCCGCGGCCTCGCCACCCCAGCGGCCGCTGGCGTGAAGCGTGGCTTCGGGCGATTGCAGTTCGAGCTTCTGCAGCTTCCAGTCGCGCGCAGCGGCGGGGGCCTGGGCCAGCACTTCCAACCGGCCCAGCCGCTTGCCGCGCAGCTCGAAATCGTCGACCTGGATGTCCAGCGACGGCAGCGGGCCGTTGCCGGTGTCGGCCTTGCCCGGGTCGATCAGCTCGGTGACGGACTCGACCTCCTGGCGCGGCAGCGACAGCTTGGCCAGACGCGCCTGCACCGCGTCGATCTGGCTGCCGCGCACGCCCTTGAGATCGATCCGGCCGGCGATCTGCTCGGCATCGATGTTGATGCGCCAGTTGGCGCCGTCGCGCGCGACCATCGCCGACGCGCGGCCGAGCTGGCGGCCGCCGATCTTCAGCGCCTGGCTGCGCAGCGCGATCTGGCTGGGCAGCAGGCCGGCGTCATCCGCCTCCGCACCATTCGCCGGGCCGTTGCCAGCGAGGCCGCCAAGCCGCTGCTGCCAGGCATCCAGGTCCAGCGCCGCGACATTGACCTGCAGCAGCACGCCGCTGGCCGGCAGCGCGGGCAGCTTGTCCTGCACCGCGAGCGTGCCGCGGAGCACTTGCGAGCTGGCGCCCGACACATCCCGTTGCAACTGCGCCTGCAGCAGCGGCACCGGGCCGTTGCCCACCTCCAGCCGCAGTTCGTCCCGCCCGGCGCCGGTGGGCGCCATCAACAGGCGCAGCGGCAGCACCGCGTCGGCCTCCTTGCGGCCGGGAGCCGGCAGGTCCAGCGCGAGGCCCTGCAGGTTGCTGCTGACGCTCAGCTCGCTCTGCCCGCCTGACGGGATGGCGAGCTGGAAGCGGTAACCCGCCTGGCCACTCGCGGCCTGGGCCAGGCGCGCGACGGCGCCCGAGCTCGGTCGCGCGGCGCAAGCCGTCCGCGGTGGCCTGGCCCTGC